TTTTCAACAATATTATTCATCCATGAATTTTTTTTTCTTTCCACAATATTCATTCAGGAATTTGGCCGCAATAGAAACCTTGCAACGAGAGAACGAAGAAGCGTGAAGCAGAGAAGGAAAATGTCGTCGGTGATGAACATGTTCGGGTTCGGGGTGGTGAGGGCTCCGTCGCAAGCATTGGGGATTGGGAAGAGAAGCGGCTGAGGATTGACGATAGTGTGTTCGTCTCGGCCTCAGAAGAAAGCGACGGCGCATCATTGGAAAACGCTATTGTACGCCACGGACGCAATGTGGATCGTGGGCGACACCGGATCGCGCGGGTAGAAGTCATCGGAGGCCCTCACCACTGCGGTTTGCTTAGAGCAGTAGAGCGCGTTCGTGTTGTGGCTCATGCACGCGATGCAACAATTATCAGGGAAGTTTCTAGAAATGGAAGCGTCGAGGGCGCGGTGATACTGTGCGATCAGTTCCACCCTGCCTCCAAGCCCCGTGCCCAGAGTCTCCAAAATGCACTGCACGTCCACCTTAACGCCGTCTACACCCGCGGACGCCAGATAGCTGTGCAACTCGTTGTAAAACGTGAACACCTTCTTAGGGTTGACAAGCCCCAAACCATGAACAGCAAGCGCGTCCGTTTTCTACGTTGGCTCGTTCTCCCTCACTCCGTTCGACACGTTCGGGTACTTCATCACAGATTCGTACTCCTTCATTTCCTTCACTCCTGGACGAACCCCGCCCCAATAACCGCCTCTGCAGCGACGACTCCGAGTTCGAATCGGTGTTTTGTTTCTCGTCGGTGCCGACGGACTACCAGCCGTCATCGATGATGACGAATTTCGGTGCGTTCCACCGGCGGCGAGGGACTGGATTCTGGCCTCGACTCCTTCCTGAGTGACTTCTTGGTAGAAGGCGTCCCACGTGCACCAGCCGAAGCAGTCGACTATGCCAGGGAGCTTCTTCTCGTGGCGGAGGCAGAACGTGTTGAGGTGGCTCCTGACAGCGCGGAAGGCGTTGTGAATGGTGGCGAAAGGGTTGGTGCCGGCGCTGATGAAGAGCGCGTGGGTGAACGACGACGCTTTGGTGTCGGCGTCGCCGCTCTCGAGGCAGAGCTGGTGGTGGTCGTCGGAATTCCCCTGGAGGCACGCCCTGAACGAGCCTTGAATAAGAGGTAGAAAAACTGTATACACGATCTGGTTGTTGTTGTTGTCGTCGTTTTGTGACTCGAGGTGGGACCCGTCTTTGGTTTCCACGAGCAGAAATTGCATCTCCAAGGGAATATCCCTCCCTTGATCTCCCATTTTTTGGGCCATCCACCACAGCTTGAACCGGAAGCACGCCATGAACCGAACAAACATCCTTCAAAGTTCCCAGCGAAACCACGTGTCTGCTATCTTCCTTCTCGAAATCAGCTCCCACGAACATTCCTTCCACTGTTGATGTCTCCACCACACTCTCCGGCATCCCCGTCAGAATCGTCTTCCCCTTCACCACCAGCTTCCCCTCCGAAACTCTAACACCAGGCTCGTCTTCTAGCTTTGATTTTCCTATTTTTTTATACACAAGTTCAATCATCTCAGAGATGACTTTGACTGGTTGAGATTGCCAAATCTAAAGAGTAAATTAAAATTATACTCCAAACCTTAGTGTGAAGAGCACTTTAAGGTCGGCATTTGACGATCCAAACCTTGGTGTGAAGAGCACTTTAAGGTCAGAATTTAGACGATCTACACCTTGGTGTGAAGAGCACTTTAAGGTCGGCATTTTGACGATCAAGACCTTGGTGCAAAAGAGCACTTTAAGGTCGGAATTTAGACGGTCAAGACCTTGGTGTGAAGAGCGCCTTAAGGTTAGAATTTAGAGGACCCGAACCTTAGTGTGAATAGCACTTTAAGGTCGGAATTTCGACGATCTACACCTTGGCGTGAAGAGCACTTTAAGGTCGGCATTTTGATGATCAAGACCTTGGTGCAAAGAGCACCTTAAGGTTAGAATTTAGAGGACCCGAACCTTAGTGTGAATAGCACTTTAAGGTCGGAATTTTGACGATCCACACCTTGGTGTGATTAGCACTTTAAGGTCGGAATTTTGACGATCTACACCTTGGTGTGAAGAGCACCTTAAGGTCGGGATTTATACGATCAAGACCTTGGTGCAACGAGCACTTTACGGTCGGCATTTTGATGATCAAGACCTTGGTGCAACGAGCACTTTACGGTCGGCATTTTGATGATCAAGACCTTGGTGCAACGAGCACTTTACGGTCGGCATTTTGATGATCAAGACCTTGGTGCAACGAGCACTTTACGGTCGGCATTTTGATGATCAAGACCTTGGTGCAACGAGCACTTTACGGTCGGCATTTTGATGATCAAGACCTTGGTGCAACGAGCACTTTACGGTCGGCATTTTGATGATCAAGACCTTGGTGCAACGAGCACTTTACGGTCGGCATTTTGATGATCAAGACCTTGGTGCAACGAGCACTTTACGGTCGGCATTTTGATGATCAAGACCTTGGTGCAAAGAGCCCCTTAAGGTTAGAATTTAGAGGACCCGAACCTTAGTGTGAATAGCCCTTTAAGGTCGGAATTTAGACGATCAAGACCTTGGTGTGAAGAGCACCTTAAGGTCGGGATTTATACGATCAAGACCTTGGTGCAACGAGCACTTTAAGGTCGGCATTTTGACGATCTACACCTTAGTGTGAAGAGCACTTTAAGGTCGGAATTTAGACGATCAACATAAATCAAGTCAAACGGTGCGCCCCAAGTTGCGACCCAAAGTAGGTCAACAAAATGCCTACGTGACATGCTCTTCACACCATAGTGCTCGAGCATGGAGAGCTATGTACCATGATGGTCTCCCACAGATCGACCAAAGTAAGTCGGCAAAATGTTGATCCAACATGCTCTTTGCACCTTAGTGCTCGAGCATGGAGGGCTATGTACCATGAAGGTCTTCTACAGACCGACCAAAGCAGGTCGGCAAAATGTTGACCCAACATGCTCTTCGCACTTTAGTGCTTGAGCATGGAGGGCTATGTACCGTGGTGGTCTCCCATTGGCCGACCCGAGGCACATCGACAAAATGCACCATGGAGGTCCCCTGCCTTACTTTTCTTGTTATATCTTCCAAACAATACTTTATAAATACCAAGTATCAAATAAAAAAATGTTTTAATGTTTTAAAATTTATGTTTTCAATCCTTTAGTTTCTTCATTTAGTAATTAGGTGGGAAGATTTATAATTATTCATGGAAAAACTTGATCTTATCATAAGGCTTTTGAGTGTTTACTTAATAGGTGATGAAAATCCCGGAGACATATTCGTCGACGTCTATTTATTTGAGATCATTCATTTTACCGCTTGTTGAGGAAACGCATGCTGATTTGTTATCAAGCATAAGGACAGTGTCAAATTCACCAATAAGTCAAATAAGCAGGATTAGAGAAACAAAGAATCATCAATCTCCGAGTGACCTTTTCTACCAAATTACTGTGTTGAAAAAGCGAGGAGATGCATATGAGCCTGCAGTTGGAGACCTCATTGCTGTGACAAATATACGACCAAGGTGTATCAATGATTTGAACAATCACTGCCTCATCGCCTTCGTTCACCGTGCTTCTAATTTCTGTATCACCGTCTTATCATCTAAACTAATCACGACTCTAGACCAAAACAAAGAAATTCGTTTTGTTGTTTATCTTACCAACTTGAACACAAATATACGGATCTGGAGATCACTGAACAGTGAGCTGGAAGGAGGGAATATGAAGATCATAGATAAAGTTCTTCAAGTTCATTCCTCTGTAAGAAAATGAACTCTTCTTTGTGCTTTCAATTGGCTTTGGAACTATGAAAAGCAAATGTGTCGAGTGTTTTTATTGGTCACACTGATTTAGTTACTTGCTCAGTTGCAATATTTTCATCTGACATATATATATATATATATATATATATATAACTGGCATTTTTTTTATGATATTTATAGTGAAATTTATACCACTATATATGTTACACTGCCTGAAATACACAATTTTTCCGATTAAATAAATCAGGAACAGGAGCAGAAATAATTCATCTCCTAAACATTTGGTCAAATAAATTTTATATCACATCAATAATAAACTTAAAGTAGGCTTGAGAAATAGTTTGAGGTTTTCTAGGAACATTCAAAGATCGAAGCTCTTCATTTTTTACTATTCTATTCTGCATATAAAAATCATCTCAACAAAATCAATTAACTGAGTTACCAGCTCCTACGGTAGAATTCCTTTAGTTTTGTAACATTCTACTCGCATTTATTTGATTACATAATAATGTCAACTCTACATAAGAAACAGCACCCTTTTGTGTTTTCTGTTAATCTATGACACTATACGTTAAGTGAATTGCACTATCAGTCATAATACTTAAAAAAAAAAAAAAAAAAACATTAATTTTGTTTTTTCGTAGAAAACTAGAAACAGAAGAGCTGTGTTTCACTATTAAAATTTGTTTCGTTATTCTTGTCTATTACAGAACCATGTCTCCCTCGCATCCACTTCGGTTAGCCCTCCAACTTGCACAAGTACAAATATATCTGAAGCTGGTTAAAGCCTGTCCAAACAACTATGCCATTAACTAAACTTTGAATCTCTTAAAAGAAACAAAACCTTTTTGTTTATTCTCTGCATTCCGCGTGCATAGTTGTTGTGCACAAAGCAATTTGTTTAGAATATTTGGACAAGTAATTTTACAAAAAAAAAAAAAAAGTTTTAACTTAAGTTAAAAATAATGGATATATAAGTTAATTTATAGAAATTCTCTAATACTAATTTCTCAAAAACTTATTTTTAACTTATATATTGTATATGTTATTTTTAGTTTACATAAAAATTCATTCAAACAAACTATTGACAATAAATAATAATAATTAGTTTATACACTGATAATGTTGATTTTCAAATAATTACTTTAAAAGTCATACGATGATGATATTTAATTAGTTTACAGAATAATTTTTTTGCACTAACATTACAAAAAATTAAATATGATAATAATAATAAAATGTGACCATTATCATTGTCACGGACGGCAAGCGTATAGTGGCCAAATGTCTTATAGTAGAAGACCATTTAATTTTGATCTTGTCATTGGAACAAAAGCAGAAGGGGAGTTTGTAGATGAAGTAACACCCTCTTCAGATGGCAATCTACTATACTTAAGAATATCATATTTGCTTATCTTACCACCCCATAAATGACACCAAGTGTCCCTTGTTTACATCATCAATAGTTTTAACTAGTTTAAACAACCTCGAGTTTCGAGTTTTATTTAATACAGAAAAGGTGCTGATGAAAGCAGCAAATTAAGCCATTATCTAGGTGGTTGTTTATTCCAATACTTCATGTTTTCTTGAAGCTTTCTTCCTTACATATTTGATTGAAAGACTCTAACTCTATCCAAAGTTCCTAGACATCCTTGCTGAAATATATTAAGAATGTGATGAATGATGATGGTTGGTGGCCACCTGTGACAATATTTTATTTTCGATGTTTTGGGACTTAATCCATTCTAACCGTTGAAAATTGCATGCAAAAGTCATTGACCAAGTAAGAGGTATTAGTTAGCCTTATCCATCTTGGGGACGCGTTAAGTCTACCATCGTTTGTTCATTCATTGTTCTCATACTATCAAGCCTTTGTTTTCTCATTAAAACATGATTAATGCTCCGCTTTGATTATTTGGGATCATTGCTTCCATCCAAAAGTTTCAAATTCGATAGCATCAGAAGAAAATATTGAGCTATGGACAAACAACATAAAGTGATTCTTCTGCTGTTGCTTCTTTTCCAAGTTCTGCTTGTAGCATCACAGACAGACAATCGAGATTGTAAGTTCAATTACACTTCTTTTGATATACTCTTTAACATATCATGAAAAAAGCAAGGAATATTTTTCAATTTTTTTTGGGGTGCTCTTGCATATGGTGAACAGGCCTAAACTCTTTTTGCTTTGTATATTTTGGACTACTTCACTTTTATGCAAGAGCAAATCATAAATTACACCAAACATAGAAAATTGGCTGTACAACTTTTTTTACAACCATGAGACAAACGGGAAAAAAGATGGATGATGTGATGGAGAGAGGAAAAAAAATGAATTCTAAGAAAGTGTCGAAAGAATTTATTGTAGGAATAATATAATTGAAGGAAATACAGATATGCCGTTGAAATTGAGTTATGTTCTGTCTTCAATCTTCATCTGAACATAATGAAACTGAGAATCTGTGTTTATGCATGTAAATTAGGAAAGTGTTTAAGGGTGGAAGATATACTCTATCATCAAGATCCTGAAACAAAATTTTTGTTGCTAATTAAAAAATTTTGAAGTTGACCTTGTTTATATCATTGACTAATGTGCAAACTGAAAACTGTAGTTCTTACTTCATAGACTGGAAGCTCCTTTGCTTGCTGCTATAACACTGTTCGTTAGGAAGTGCTCAGGAGTTTGATCATGGATTAATTGTTTGCCTTATCTATTAAAATTAAAAACAGTTTATACGAAAAAAAGAAAAGGAAAGATGAGCGTTATTTCTTAACTCTTGTACGACTTTTCCTTTTGTTATCATTCATTTAATTTCTGAAACAACAGAGTTTCTATAGTTTTCATTTTCATAGTAATTTGTGGTCTAGAGCCATATGCAATCACTCTAAGGAACACTAAGAAGTTATGTAGTTTTGTTAATTCAATTTGTTTATGACATTTTTTAATGTAAATTTTATGGCTGCAGATTCTGGCCTAAATTCTTTTACGCAATCCTGGAGTAACAAGCCACAAAATTGGGTGGGTTCAGATCCTTGTGGTAGTGGATGGGATGGAATCCGTTGCAGCGGTTCAAGAATTACCCAATTGTTAGTTCTTTGTTTTTTTGGCCACTTCAAATTGATATGAAAGATTTTTCATATTTTCCATTTTTTAAAAAATAAAATAAATCTGAAAACATTGCTATTTTTTTCAGGAAACTACCAGGCTTGAATTTGGGGGGCCAGCTGTCTTCGGCAATTCAGTCTTTAACTGAACTAGATACTGTGTGCGTACTCTTCATATAAGTTGAACATTCATTAAATTGGAATCATCATTCTAATCCTCATATGCTTAAATATCTCTGAATTTAAGGGTGTCAACAAGTTGGTTGGGTTGAGTTTATATAAATCCATTATCCAATTTAATCAAAATTTAACGAGTTGGGTTGTGTTAGATTTGTGCAACTTTTTTAAAAAAATCCAATCCAACCGAACCTAATCATGAACGGGTTAGGTTAGGTTAATCGGGTCAACATAATTATATTTATTTATTTATTATAAAAATTTAAATATTTTAAAATAGATGTAAATCATTTGATACATTGTTCATTATTGTAAATTATATGTTATCAACCTATAAAACAAATAATGATACAAATTAAATTCTGAACTAAATTTATTAATGTTACATTATTATCAACTCAAAAAATCAACATTAATTAATATAAAATAAAATTTAAAATAAATATATTATATTGTTACAATGTTATCGACATAAAACATAAAACTTATTATTAAGTAAGAATAATACCAAGTATTGATTTGGGTCAGTTCAGGTTCGCAGATTACCCATACCCGCTTATACCCCTATCTGAATCGGTGATTTGTTGCTATAATTCTTCTAAACTGAAATTATCTCTAAAGTGATAAAAGGGTATATAATACACCCTTAATTTAATCAAAATATAGATTATGATATTAATTAATCTGTTAAAGAAAAATGTTAGCCAACACTTATCCTAACACACTTTTACTAATGTTCCCTTTACTATTGACTCGAGTTTATGGAAAATAAAAAATTGTGATGAGTCTTACCACTAAATCAAAAGTTAATTAAGATGTAAGACTCACAAAAATTGTGATTTTCAATAAATTTGAGTGACAATAATAAGAATGTTACAAAAAAGAGTATTAGAGAGTCTAACTAGCATTCCTCTCCAATAAATGATTTAAGGTGGATGGATACTTGCTTACGTTACATTATTTGGTACTGCTTTAGTCATATTATGAATTTTGGTATATGAAAGTTGCCAAATCATTCCCCTTAACTAAATTCATCTATAGAATAACCACCCAAATGGACATTTTATTTTGACTATGTTATTTGCGGATGGCATGCAATACTCGGTTGAAGCTCACTTAATAACATGATTTTTTTTTCTTATGTAGGGATCTTTCATACAACACGGGCTTGACAGGAACAATTCCGAAAGAAATTGGGAATTTGAAAAAACTAAAATCCCTGTAAGTAAGCTAAGCAGTTTGTTATCTATTAAATGATTTGAATACATACTGAATTTTTCCCTTTCCAAATTTAACACTTTTTGATCTGTCCTTTTTAACTGATTCCAGAGCATTGGTTGGTTGTGGTTTCTCTGGTCCTATTCCAGATTCAATAGGGTCTCTAACGCAGCTGACCTTTCTGTAAGGATCCATCTTAACGATGCTGCTAATTCATTTATGAGAAGGTTTATTTACTTAAAAATTGTTTAATCCAACTTAACAAAGGATGATGCTTCATATAAAAATATGGAACATCTTTTGTTGGGTGTGCACCCTTGAATAATGTTCAATTGCTAAAATTATCCAACTTAATCTTGAGGCTTAATGTTTCTTTAATGGACTAACACATGGTAAATTATGTGTTTCTTTTCATGCAGAGCACTGAATTCTAATAAGTTTAGTGGAAGTATACCACGCTCTCTGGGAAATCTATCAAATATTGATTGGCTTGATCTTGCTGAAAACCAGCTTGAAGGGACTATTCCTGTCTCTGATGACCAAGGACGACCTGGCCTTGACCTGCTTCTTAAGGCTCAACACTTGTATGTCAACTGTCATTGTCAATTTTCACTTGATATTAATGTTATCAAACTAACATCACTGGATATTTTCCAGTTCCCTTAATGACCTAACATTATGTTCACTGCTTGCAGTCATATGGGGAGCAATAAGCTCTCTGGTACAATACCATCAAAACTTTTTTCCTCCAGTATGAGACTACAACACTTGTAAGCTTCATTACATCTTGTACTATTTATTTCTCTGGAATTTTTAAATCTATATGAAGGCATGGAGAGTTTAGTGTCCTCATGTCACAATAAAGTGAATGAAAGTATAATTTTTCAAATACATAAAATTTTATTCATAAGGTGTCATGGTGTCCATTTATTTTAAATTTTTTGTAGAATTGATTTTGAATCTTAAATGTGATCGATATATGTATTTAAATTAATTTTGACTGACTATTGTTATAAACCAAATGGACACTCAATCACCCCTTGTACTCCTTTTGCCAGGCTTTTCGACCACAATCAACTAGAGGGTAGTATTCCTAGAAGCATTAGTTCTGTGAGTTCATTGGAGGTTGTGTAAGTATACTGTGGCCAGTGTCAAGTGACTATATTCACAAAATTATGCTGCCTGAAATTTCTCTTTGGCTTTTCTTTATATTGAATATTTTCTCTTGACCACAGGCGCTTTGATGCCAATCAGTTAATTGGGGGACTGCCTTCAAACTTCAACAATCTCGGAAAACTTAGTGAGCTGTAAGAAAATTAAAGAAGCATACCCCATTAAACTTCATATTTATATGTTCAAATTGTCTTTGTTTGCCTAAAGAAACAATTTTGCTGAGCCAAGGCATGTACTTTATTTTTGCAGCTATTTATCTCACAATAAGATGAATGGCTCTCTGCCCGATCTTACTGGAATGAATAGTCTCACCTATGTGTAAGTATACAATAGTGATACTCTATTATATTTTATTGATTGCAACAATAGTTTAGATGAAGTGTGTAAAATTTTGATCATGTTGCCTAGAAGAAATCCTAACAACAATATTTTCTCCCATCAACATTTAAAACAGGCATGTTTCATTCATGATACAATGATTTTTTAACTTCCGTCTTATATGGAAAACTATCTGCAGGGACATGAGCGACAATAGTTTCAATGCTACTAATATTCCTTCATGGGTTTCAAATCTGCCAGGACTGACAACAGTGTATGTTGTTCCTTCATCCCCACATTACCTGTCTCTTCTTTTTTACCGAAATCTTATAAAAGAACTCATTGTTGTGAAAAGGAAAAAAAAATGATAAACATCAAAATGATACTTCAAAAATCACATCTACAAACATCAAAGGGCAGAGAAAGTTCATTCTTGGTGGGTGTAGCATTTTTTTTTTTCTTTAGAAGAGAAACACAAACACTTGTCCTTTTATGAGAGGCAGTTGTGAAACAAAACATTATAGCATAAAAAGATGTTTATATCCCTAAATATAAAAAAACAACGGAACTATCATAGTATTTTGAATTCTATTCAAAAATAAAAAAGAAAATTGGTTACTGTATTGTTTATTATTATTATTTAAGGATCTGGATCCAAAAAAATCCAGTAGATTTTTTACTCTTTTTTTTTTTTTCTTCTATATATGTAGCTAAATTATTCCTTGGATATATGAACAAATGATGGTTATGAATATTGAAATGTGGTAACAGGATACTTAAGGACAACCAGCTCAGTGGCTCATTAAATCTCAGCGAGTACAGCAATAGTCTGCAACTCATGAATTTGGAGGATAATGGAATAACAGGACTTGACCCGGAAAACAATTTACCAAGTTTTGATCTAAGGTAAGCTGCATTATTTATGATATTATAAAATTGTTCAGCTATTTGCATAGATTCAAAACTAAGGCATTATAACTATCTAATGTTTTTGCAGACTAGCTAACAATCCAATTTGTCGTGAAAGTGGAGCTCTTGAAAGGAGTTATTGCAAAGTGCCTCAAACCGTTCCCTCTTATTCAACGCCACCAAATAATTGTGTACCTCAATCTTGCGGTTCCAATCAGATTTCCAGCCCCAATTGTAAATGTGCATTTCCCTATACCGGACTTCTTATATCAAGAGCTGTTAGTTTCTCAAACTTCAGTAACACAAGTTACTATAGGGAGCTTGAGCAGACTCTGCTGGATACTTTTCAAAAGCAACGTGTTCCAGTGGATTCAGTTTCTCTTAGTAACCCCTTCAGGAATTCAACTTCTGATAACTTTCAATTGACTATGGATATCTTCCCTTCTCAAACCGATCGTTTCAACACAACTGGAGTTTTAACTATTGCTTTTCTGTTTAGCAACCAAATTTACAAACCCCCAGAATTCTTCTCCCCTTACGTCTTCGAGGGTGCTAGTTATGACTACTACGGAGGTGATTTTGTGTCTCATTATGAACTAACAATACTTAACTATTTGTCTTTTCTATCTTATAGTGCTCTCTCTCCTCCCTAACTCTCACTCTTGTATCACTTAGGAGAACCAAAAAACTCAAAGTCATCACATACAGGGGTTATAGTTGGTGCAGTAGTTGCAGTTTTGGTCTTTGTTGTACTAGCATTCCTTGCAGGGATGTATGCCATTCGCCAGAAAAGAAGAGCAAAAAGATCTTCAGAGTTGAACCCTTTTGGTAAGAAGTGATTGATGCAACCGTGGCTGAATTTTGTTCCTTGCAAGGAATTTTTCTAGTAGTCTTTTATTGATTCAATGTCATTATAAATGCAGGAAATTGGGAACAGAATAAGAATAGTGGCACTGCTCCTCAGTTGAAAGGAGCTAGATGGTTTTATTTTGATGATCTAAGGAAATACACCAACAACTTCTCAGAAGCCAATACTATTGGATCCGGAGGCTATGGAAAGGTTTTTACTAATGCCATCTTATGACTATCTTTTCCTTTTTTCTTTTGTTATTTAAGAACACCTATGATGCACGGATACGATACGCGTATCGGATACCACACGTATCCGATACGGCGATACGCTTATTTTAAAATATATAAGATACGATACTTGTGAGATACGTGTTGTCATATATATCAATGTTCATACAACATAATAATTGTGTATTACTAAAAATAATTATAAACCATAATAATTGTTTCATAAACATTAAATATATAATTGCTATTTTGCAAATCCAAATTAAAAATATACTTATTGTACATTACTAAAAATAATTATAAACCATTTCATCATAAATTACTTTTTATTATTTACAAATAGAAATAATATTACCAATTTCATTCCTTTCTTAAAATTATCTATGTAGAAGTAGAAGACAATTTTCATTTACAGTTTATCAAGGACCAATATTTCTATGTTTCTATATTAAAAATGCTTATATATCTTATTTAGTTGTAATGAATATTTCATAATTTTTCAAAAATTTGAATACTTTATCGATACGTATCACCATCTGAGAGTATCGAGATTGAATAAAATTTTCATAATATTTTCAAAAGTTAGGATACTTCATTGACACGTATCGGTGAAGTATCCAAGAGTATCGTGTCGGATACTATCGGATACGGATACGTGAAACAAATTGAAGTATCGGTGCTTCATAGAAGAACACCCTATTGGCCTATTCCTTTGAGGTTCCTAAAAGAAATTCTTATATATTTTCATATTTAAAGAGCCCATTTCTGACACTAGCATAAGAAATATCCAAGTATTTTCCCAAATTACTCTCTTCTTGTTAACTGCTCTTCAAGATCTAATTAGTCCTCTTTGTCAAGGTTTACCAAGGAAACCTTCCCTCTGGGGAGTTGGTTGCCATCAAACGGGCTGCAAAAGAGTCTATGCAGGGTGCTGTTGAGTTTAAAACTGAGATCGAACTTCTCTCGAGGGTCCATCATAAGAATCTGGTTGGTCTTGTGGGTTTCTGTTTTGAGAAGGGTGAACAAATGCTGGTGTATGAGTACATTCCAAATGGCACTTTAATGGATAGTCTCTCGGGTACTTTCAATTCCTTCACTACTCATTTCTCTTGACTGTTTACTAGTCGACCTCTCATATGCCCATTTCATTAAAAATCACCACAATTATTCTTAGTACTAAGATGATTTAACATTCAGTTGTCAATTATAAGCCCATCTGACCAGTATCTAATTACCGGATCAGTAAAAAATCATTCATACTAAAATGGACTTGTTAGGATCCTGATTTTAAATATATTTGTCCATAACACAATAGTAATTAAATTCTTCTGCTGGAATGCAACTATTTACATCTTCAAGATTCGGACTGTGGTTAACTAGTTACCACTGATATACTTTCATAACAACCAACTCAAAATTTTAATGAAACTAAAGTTTATCAAGTTGTCTGGCACAATACTTAATTTTCTTCATTTGACTTTGCCAATGCAGGAAAATCTGGGATCTGGATGGATTGGATAAGGAGGCTTAAAGTAGCATTAGGTGCAGCCAGGGGTCTGGCCTATCTTCATGAACTTGCTAACCCACCTATCATACACAGGGACATAAAATCAAGCAACATCCTACTTGATCATCACCTCAACGCGAAAGTTGCAGATTTTGGTCTCTCCAAACTTCTTGTTGACAGTGATAGGGGCCATGTCACTACTCAAGTCAAAGGGACAATGGTTAGTACAGAAACCTCCTACTCCTACTTGATGAAACAGCACGCATATTTGTTTAAAAGAGATATTAACTTAACAAGGAATGCTAATAACACATTCTCCCTAACATAATTCTTCTGATATGTTTTTTATTATTGATTAAAATTTATTGAAAACTACAAAACCATGAATGAGACTCGTTAAATAAGAAGTGGAACCCTGCCTTGTGTTCAAAGGTGGATCCCTATTCATAGTATGATTGACATTGTGCTTAGAATATAAATAAACTTAACACTGTTTGAGAATGTATCTGTTCAATAAAGCAGAAATCAATAATTTGTTAAGAGTTAGCTTTAAACTTGATATTTACAAGAGGGATAGTTGATGCAAACTTATTTCCTTTTATTCTCACAGGGATACTTGGATCCTGAATATTACATGACCCAGCAGTTGACTGAAAAGAGTGATGTATATAGCTATGGAGTGCTAATGCTGGAACTAGCAACAGCAAGAAGGCCAATAGAGCAAGGAAAGTACATTGTAAGAGAGGTAATGAGGGTAATGGACACATCCAAAGATTTATACAACCTTCACTCTATTCTAGACCCAACCATAATGAAAGGAACAAGACCAAAAGGTTTAGAAAAGTTTGTGGCGTTGGCAATGAGGTGTGTCAAAGAATATGCAGCTGAGAGGCCTACAATGGCTGAGGTTGTGAAAGAGATTGAGAGCATAATCGAGCTTGTTGGATTGAACCCCAATTCTGAATCAGCTACAACATCAGAAACTTATGAGGAAGCAGGTGGAGTAAATGCTCAACATCCGTACCGGGAAGAAGATTTTAGCTACAGTGGAATTTTTCCATCAACAAGGGTAGAACCCCAATAGGCTTTGCTTTGCTATATTTTTCTTTTGTAATTCTTTTCCCTCTTCGGATGCAATCTCTGAGACCTGGTGTGTCAATTTTGGATTCAAATCCTTATATAGGCGAGAGCTTCAGAAAAACTTGCTCTTTGAAAATGACGAAGGTTCAAGTTGAATTTTTAAATTGGTTATTGGAAGGTTGTACGTATATCTTTGTTCTTGTCATGTAAAATAGTTTGTTAATTTTGAATTGCTGTAATATTTGAATGAATGTAAGTATGTTATACAACGTTGTTCAAAACACATCATGCCTGTTTTTCTCTCCCATATTCAGCAATGTTATTTAAGAACACCTATGATGCACGGATACGATACGCGTATCGGATACCACACGTATCCGATACGGCGATACGCTTATTTTAAAATATATAAGATACGATACTTGTGAGATACGTGTTGTCATATATATCAATGTTCATACAACATAATAATTGTGTATTACTAAAAATAATTATAAACCATAATAATTGTTTCATAAACATTAAATATATAATTGCTATTTTGCAAATCCAAATTAAAAATATACTTATTGTACATTACTAAAAATAATTATAAACCATTTCATCATAAATTACTTTTTATTATTTACAAATAGAAATAATATTACCAATTTCATTCCTTTCTTAAAATTATCTATGTAGAAGTAGAAGACAATTTTCATTTACAGTTTATCAAGGACCAATATTTCTATGTTTCTATATTAAAAATGCTTATATATCTTATTTAGTTGTAATGAATATTTCATAATTTTTCAAAAATTTGAATACTTTATCGATACGTATCACCATCTGAGAGTATCGAGATTGAATAAAATTTTCATAATATTTTCAAAAGTTAGGATACTTCATTGACACGTATCGGTGAAGTATCCAAGAGTATCGTGTCGGATACTATCGGATACGGATACGTGAAACAAATTGAAGTATCGGTGCTTCATAGAAGAACACCCTATTGGCCTATTCCTTTGAGGTTCCTAAAAGAAATTCTTATATATTTTCATATTTAAAGAGCCCATTTCTGACACTAGCATAAGAAATATCCAAGTATTTTCCCAAATTACTCTCTTCTTGTTAACTGCTCTTCAAGATCTAATTAGTCCTCTTTGTCAAGGTTTACCAAGGAAACCTTCCCTCTGGGGAGTTGGTTGCCATCAAACGGGCTGCAAAAGAGTCTATGCAGGGTGCTGTTGAGTTTAAAACTGAGATCGAACTTCTCTCGAGGGTCCATCATAAGAATCTGGTTGGTCTTGTGGGTTTCTGTTTTGAGAAGGGTGAACAAATGCTGGTGTATGAGTACATTCCAAATGGCACTTTAATGGATAGTCTCTCGGGTACTTTCAATTCCTTCACTACTCATTTCTCTTGACTGTTTACTAGTCGACCTCTCATATGCCCATTTCATTAAAAATCACCACAATTATTCTTAGTACTAAGATGATTTAACATTCAGTTGTCAATTATAAGCCCATCTGACCAGTATCTAATTACCGGATCAGTAAAAAATCATTCATACTAAAATGGACTTGTTAGGATCCTGATTTTAAATATATTTGTCCATAACACAATAGTAATTAAATTCTTCTGCTGGAATGCAACTATTTACATCTTCAAGATTCGGACTGTGGTTAACTAGTTACCACTGATATACTTTCATAACAACCAACTCAAAATTTTAATGAAACTAAAGTTTATCAAGTTGTCTGGCACAATACTTAATTTTCTTCATTTGACTTTGCCAATGCAGGAAAATCTGGGATCTGGATGGATTGGATAAGGAGGCTTAAAGTAGCATTAGGTGCAGCCAGGGGTCTGGCCTATCTTCATGAACTTGCTAACCCACCTATCATACACAGGGACATAAAATCAAGCAACATCCTACTTGATCATCACCTCAACGCGAAAGTTGCAGATTTTGGTCTCTCCAAACTTCTTGTTGACAGTGATAGGGGCCATGTCACTACTCAAGTCAAAGGGACAATGGTTAGTACAGAAACCTCCTACTCCTACTTGATGAAACAGCACGCATATTTGTTTAAAAGAGATATTAACTTAACAAGGAATGCTAATAACACATTCTCCCTAACATAATTCTTCTGATATGTTTTTTATTATTGATTAAAATTTATTGAAAACTACAAAACCATGAATGAGACTCGTTAAATAAGAAGTGGAACCCTGCCTTGTGTTCAAAGGTGGATCCCTATTCATAGTATGATTGACATTGTGCTTAGAATATAAATAAACTTAACACTGTTTGAGAATGTATCTGTTCAATAAAGCAGAAATCAATAATTTGTTAAGAGTTAGCTTTAAACTTGATATTTACAAGAGGGATAGTTGATGCAAACTTATTTCCTTTTATTCTCACAGGGATACTTGGATCCTGAATATTACATGACCCAGCAGTTGACTGAAAAGAGTGATGTATATAGCTATGGAGTGCTAATGCTGGAACTAGCAACAGCAAGAAGGCCAATAGAGCAAGGAAAGTACATTGTAAGAGAGGTAATGAGGGTAATGGACACATCCAAAGATTTATACAACCTTCACTCTATTCTAGACCCAACCATAATGAAAGGAACAAGACCAAAAGGTTTAGAAAAGTTTGTGGCGTTGGCAATGAGGTGTGTCAAAGAATATGCAGCTGAGAGGCCTACAATGGCTGAGGTTGTGAAAGAGATTGAGAGCATAATCGAGCTTGTTGGATTGAACCCCAATTCTGAATCAGCTACAACATCAGAAACTTATGAGGAAGCAGGTGGAGTAAATGCTCAACATCCGTACCGGGAAGAAGATTTTAGCTACAGTGGAATTTTTCCATCAACAAGGGTAGAACCCCAATAGGCTTTGCTTTGCTATATTTTTCTTTTGTAATTCTTTTCCCTCTTCGGATGCAATCTCTGAGACCTGGTGTGTCAATTTTGGATTCAAATCCTTATATAGGCGAGAGCTTCAGAAAAACTTGCTCTTTGAAAATGACGAAGGTTCAAGTTGAATTTTTAAATTGGTTATTGGAAGGTTGTACGTATATCTTTGTTCTTGTCATGTAAAATAGTTTGTTAATTTTGAATTGCTGTAATATTTGAATGAATGTAAGTATGTTATACAACGTTGTTCAAAACACATCATGCCTGTTTTTCTCTCCCATATTCAGCAATTTAACTCTTGTCACTTAACTAAGGATCATATTAACCGAAGAAATTTTACCAGCAGACAAGTACTAGAAAATTCAATAATGCCTTTCCTTAATCACCAAAGAGAACACATCACACGTTGCATCTTTTTCACGTGCATGTAGTTTCTTAAAATTTTGACACATGGAAACCAGGAGTGGCAATCTATCATTCTAACTTGAAAATCCAATTCCATTTGATAATTGACTTCTTTTTTTTCTTCCAAAAATTAGACTTAAACTAAAAATTAAATTCAGATAAATAACTGAATCAGAACTTAAATTATGTATAATTCAACTTGTATGATATATAAATTTATTCTACATATAAATATATGATTTATATAATTAATTTTTTATTTAATTTCAACCGATTAAAATTTAAAAATAACATTCAAAACTTAATTATAAGATAATAATAATAATAATAATAATAATATAGGAAATAGGTATTTTTAAGTTTCATGATTATGAATTAATTTTTTATTATTTATGTGAGGAGACTTTTTATTTATACATATTTTTGTTGTAATTTTATTTTTTTAGTTAAACTTTGTATTCTTTCAAAACTAATAAAATAAATTTAGTTTTATTTTAAAAAAACATTTTTATCTAAAATCTATTAATAAATTAGAATTTTGAAATATATAAAATTTAAAAATTTTAACTTTCAATTCATGTAATTTAAACTAATAAACTCAATCGAACTAATTTTGAACTTAAATCCAAAATAAATTCAAACTAAAAAAATGAATTAAATCAAACTCGTTTAAATTCTAACCCAATTTATTCTCTAACATAAAAGACATATTATTAGGCTTAATATAACCATGTCAATTTAACAAATACTCAAATTTTATTATATCTAAGAAACCTGTGAATATCCGATAGAAAATATAAATGTAAATTAATATCTACATTGAATAAAAACTAAGTCTATAATGTTGTCAAGAAAAAAATTAAACTTAAGTAGCGATTCAATTTCAAATCATGTGTTCTTAACTAACCAAATCACTGTATATATAGTTTTGTCTAAGAATAAAAAGAGAAATAAAAATTTATAAAATATACACATGTTTTATTAATCAAAGACATTTTAAATGATGAAAAAAACAAGACTCTAAATTCCAAAATCAACATCTTTCTATTATAAAGTTGTGTTATATATCCTCAAATAAAAAAATAGCATAACATTAATCCAAACAATTTCCTATGTCCTATCTCCTATGTCTTGAATCTTTAGATGCTCCTCTTTTTATATATAAACGAAAAAGGGAAAGCAAAACAATCGACACACGACCACATGACAGAGAATAACCCCAAAAAAATTTCTTCTTCCTCAGGTAAGATTCCTGGTGACGATGGCCCCAAAAAAATTTCAGGGCCGAAGAGTCATATAAACCCACCAGAAAGAGAGATTCCGGATGCAGCAACTCTGAGAGATCAATGGAGGTATGCCATCAGACAGTACAGTAAATGGTACTCTCACGCTTGGGGCACTGCCATTCTTGCTGGGACTGCCTTCTTTGCCCTCGGCTGGATCATCAAGGGAGAGAACCCCATTCCCTCTTTCAACTCCAACAAACCCTCTGATAAAGACAACACTCACCCCTGATGCTTCTTTTAAGGTCTCTTTCATCAATTTGCTCTTTCAAGCTTCCATTTTTTTTTCACTCTTTCTTAATGTTTTTTGTTTTGGGTCCCCTTTTTTGAATTGGCATTTTGGATGTTAGGAATATTGGATAGAATCTGAATTGGGTTGTTCGGATTTGGGAGTCAGAAAATTATTAAAGTTGGTCTTTTGATTTCCCATCATTCAATTCTAAGGCTTTTTGGTTGAATCAGTCCTATTAGTGTCATGTATAAGTCACCAGAAACAAACAGCTTCTTTTGTGTTAGGGGTAGTGAATTTGTGTAGAAAAGAATAGGAAGAAGTTGAAGATGAAACTTGTCTGATGGATGTCATGTCAAGTGTTACTTTCAATCTATTATCAGTAAATGGTGTATTTGGGACTCATGCCAATGTTTCTGATTTGAAGTCTCAAGACTCGTGTGGTTTTTGTTGTGGTCTATGATGATAAAGGTGATACTGGTGTTACAATTCAGTTTTGCCGGGGAGCTTTTGTTTATGACATTATTATGTATTTATAAAGTTTTGTAACTTTAGTTTCCATGTGTGATACTGTTGCAAGTATGTCCCATGAAGAGTGTGACCTACAGTTTCTGGATTGATGCATCAGTCACCATGACGGTGTCATTTGATAAAACTGGCTTTGAAAATTGCATATTTAGCCTATGCTTGGTTGTAATTAAATTTGGCTGCTGAAAAATGATTGTGTATTGAGGCATAATAAAGCCTAAAATACTTTTCTTCTTCCTATTGGTACATTAATGAAGTGTTCGTGTTGTATGTTTTGTCCTTTTGAAACTTATTCTACTTTTTGTGTTGGGTGTATTGCATGCATTGAGTCTTGGTGCTTTGCTCCGCTGATGGTAGTGGTACAATAGTTATTCCAAGTCCAAAAATTTTAATCACTTCGAGTGTACAGTATCACAGATAATTTGCTGGCTATATAGTTAATTTTGTTTCCTATTGTTTTGGTTTTTGATATTTTGCGAGCTGATTGAACGTGGCTGCATATTGTTTGTTGCATTCATATGTTTGACTGGAATCGGACTATTTCTAAGTATAGTTATTGTTTTCATCTGCCTTTTTCCTGTCTTCTGTAACACTAGCTAATAGGTATCTGTTTTATGATTAATGTATCTCGAGTATTTTCATTCTGAGGTTTAAATGCATGTTTGTCTTTTATGTCTAATCCTCCTGCGATCAAATCTGTATGAACAATTATCTATCTATTTGGGCAGTTTTCTTTTATTATTATTTAAAAAAAATAGAATAGATAAAAAAATAATAATAATCATACATGCTAAATCTCATGATTTTGATTAAAGGATTACATGCTTCAGCAGTGCTAAAAAAAGTTGCTACCTTTATTCAATAGATACCCTATAGATTCAATGGAATTATGAACAAGTCAAATTGATAGACACTTGTTCTACCTGTCTCAAAATACTGTCATAGTCTTGTTTCTACTAGGCATTTCCTGTTTTAACCAAACATTCCAGTTCATAAATTTTACTCGATTAATTTTTTAAGTGAAAATGATTGTCTAATTAAGGTTAGAATCCTGAAATACAGTGAACAAATCCAGATTAATGAATTGATAATGCGGGGAAGAATTGGTTTTTCTCCTCACGTTATTAGTTTCATGTTTGTTATATTAACTTCTCTCTGCATTTCCATAAAACAAAATTGTGGATCTCTTGACCATGGTACACTCTTTATTCGTTAATGAAAACATGGGACTGCAGGCCCATTGACTGGAATCAAGCCACACAAGAACTGCTTTTGGTTGACAAAAGCCCTGGCACCTTGGTTGCAATTGTCTAATAAGGAAGTATGATGTTTATAATCGAGTCTCGTGATACAATGGTTATTTTGCTTCTCTTAAACTGGGTTTTGTCACTGTATCGATGTGGATGTAAGGCAAAACATTGTGTATATTCAAATGCTTTTGGTATGGAATGAACGTTAGGAAAAAGATTGTACTATTCAAGTGCTTCCTCCTTACTTGTAATTTATGATTGATTAGGATCCATTAAGGTTCAAGTTTGGTCCCGTTTGATGTTCAAACTTGACAATCGCAAATGTAATTACATTCCATCAAACAATCGCAATCATAGTAAAAAAAAGCAAATGATGTGAAATAGCACATGGTTGTTAGTAAGTATGACCTCCATCTTTGTGGGAGCTTCTAATTGTAATGTGAAATATTACGGAAATCCCTTTGAAATAATCACTTTATCGAGTAACTTCATTTTAATTAAATCAATGTTTAATCTACTAATCATCCCAACAAGCAAAAAAAAAAAAATTGATTGTGAGCACTGATTGTTTATCTTTGATGAATGACAAGTAAAATTGTTTAAAATTGTCAAATAAGCATTAGAGCAATTAGATCAACAAAACTATTAAAACCCAAAATACTAAATAACAATATTGGAAAATATTGCAAACTAGGTTGTTAGATAGTATTTTTTTCCGACTACAATTAAGGTTTTTTTTTCCTCAATAAAAGTAATGAAATAAAAGAGAGGATGCTATTTTTTTTTTTTTTATAGTTATTCTCAAGTATCTTTCGGTTTTAAGCTACAGATGTAACAAAAAAAAAATCTGTTTATTATCTAATATTTTGTAACTTCTGAAATCCGGCCCAACACTCAGTTTTGAAGAAACAATGCGCAAATAACTTTACTTGCGAATTCAGAATTTAACTTTCAGAGGGTGCAAAATAAATTTGGATAGCATGAATCTGCATGAATGAAAAAGAACAAAAAATATAAAGAAGCCTGTGAAAACTGCGATAAATCTGAAATAATTCAATAGCTTCATGAAACAACAGTATAGGGCATCAAGCAAAATGAAAGTGCATGTTTCCTAAACAAATGACTTCCATTGAACCGATTTCTCTGTATTCCAAAGCAGAAAGTTTAGATTGTAATGCTCACTAGACATTCATTTTCATGCTGTAAGGCTGAACTCTACATAGATATAAACAGAACATAGGTTTAAACTTTAAAGTGAAAATACAGAGGTTTACTGCATGCTCAATTAGAACAACAACCAGATTTCTTCACAGCTGATACATCATCACGAGAACTAACATTTATAGTCTGCCCTTTTGGTAATGCTGCTGGATCATCACCAATTTCAAGGGCCTTCTTGCTTACAACATGATAGATCTGTGTCAGCACTTCTGTGAAGGCATTTTCAACATTCATGGACTCAAGGGCAGATGTTTCCATGAAGTATGTTTTCTCCCGTTCCGCAAAAGTTGTAGCATCTTCGGTGGAAACTGCCCGCAAATGGCGCAAGTCTGCTTTGTTCCCAACAAGCATCACCACAATGTTGGCATCTGTGTGATCTCTGAGCTCCTTCAACCATCTCTCTATGTTTTCAAATGTAACATGGCGGGTAACATCATAGACTAATAAAGCACCAACAGCTCCTCGATAATATGCACTGGTGATTGCTCGGTACCTTTAGTAAAGGAAAATCAAATTAAGTTACCTTGCATGAAAAGTTGATTATGAATCTTGTTGGGGTAATGAATCAACATGATTACTGAGTTTCATTACAGGGTATCTATATTATTCAAGCATTTAATCTTTAGCCATTATTAAACAATACAATGCTATGAATGATCAATGTAATTCACCGCAAAAACTAATGTTTTTATTTTCATTCTTCCATCTGCTTTGTGCATTTTGCTAATAAATTTATCCTCCTCAAGCAATCTGATTGTCTACAATCATCAAAATCATAATGATTTTCAAGTTTCGACTTGGATATACTAAAGCAGAATGGACAGGAACTGTTGAAGGTGCCGTTTTTGGAATAAAGCAACATAGGCAAAAGTATTGGATCTCTGAAAACAAAAACTAACAGAAAGAAAGCTATAATCGAAATCATATTAACACCTGCAGACCTATAAAACTACATACAAAGCAACGCAGCTAAACTGAGAATAGATAATAAATTCTAGTAGCACAGAATATAATCAAACCAAGAAAATACAATATATTAATAAGTTCCACTAAAATATCGTTTCATTATAAGGAAATAAGCTCGAAGAGCTGACTGACATCCACTTTTGCACACCAACGATCAGCAATGTCTAAATATTCATTATGCTGCTATGACCATAATAATAATAACAGTATTTAACACCAATCTTAAGGAGGGGGAGGGGGGATCTTCACATTTTAACAACACCAGAATTCAATTTTTACAACACGGAAATCATCAATGCAAGGACTTTATAAGTCATTTTGATAAAACATAACAAGCCAATTTAAAGCCCAGGTCAAATAAGAGAAAATCAGGCCAACAAAATGGTTTGAAGATAATTAGATCATCTTACTATTCAAACATAGAGACATTCGTAAGCTATGCAAATGCAAGGATAACTTCAAATCTTTTATTGCTTAGTATATGCTTGTTGCATATTTACCAGCGACTCTAACATTTCTGTCAAAGATGAAACGAGTAAAATGCTCATAACAACATTGACCTGTTTGCATTTAGAAATTAAGTGTGTGAAAAAAGAGCTATTAATTATCTGCATTTTGTAAATGCCATAATTCAGATTATTGCAACAAGAACTTAATGCACAATGCTAAGGTTTGAAAGTCGTGAGTGATTCATGTTTGAGATTTCAAAAACATTGGCTGCTACAACCCTAACACAATCCCCTCTTTTACTCAGGGCTTAGGACCAGCTATGAGTCCATAAACAGAGTTAACGGTTTGAAAGTCAATCCGAAGTAAAAGTTCATAGAGGTCCAATAATCATACAGTAACACAAGCGTTACTGCAAATAAAATTCAACTTTATACGTGTAAATTTATAGGCAATGACTTTTCCGATTCCCAAACACAAGGATGTAAAACAGAATTTCAGAAAAGCTTCCAATTCATCAGCTTATCTAATTATCAGCATAAAGGATGCAAGAAAAGAAAGACCAACTCACAAGCCACATACCCATCATGACAATAAAATCATGGACATTTACACACTTCCAAAAAAAACACACACACACACATCATGGGCAATGACTAACATACCAACCAAAATGCAACATAAAGGAGACAAGAGATAGAGAGCATAAGGAAGGGAATGTGGACCTTTCCTGGCCAGCAGTGTCCCAAATCTGAGCCTTGACAACCTTATCATCTACCCTAATGCTTCTGGTGGCAAACTCAACCCCAATGGTGGACTTTGATTCAAGGCTGAATTCGTTCTTGGTGAACCTCGACAAAAGATTGGATTTTCCCACACCAGAGTCCCCAATCAGCACCACCTTGAAAAGATAATCGTAATCCTCATCAGCTCTGTACGCCCCCATTAGCCACACACACACTTTTCTATCTGGTGTTTGGCTAAAGAGAAAATCAAGGGGAAAAAATGATTTTGATATGCTCCTTCTCTCACAGATTCAAATGGGTTGCGGCGAATCTATATTTATGATGAAAGAAACGTACTTTGTTTTGAAATCGAGATTTGGAACAACTTTTGGTAACAATAAGAAGTTGAAAGAGCAAAGCTGGAAATGTGGGGTTTCTTAGTTGGCAAATTGTTGAGAGTGGTGACTGTAAGGTCTCAATTCTCAAACAAACAATTACCTTTATTTTCCATTTCTTTTTTATCATGCCACTGCTTACACTTTCATTCTCCTATTTATTTTATTTTTTTTTTATCTTTGTTTCAAAAGTCAATAAAAATTAATGAAAAATTAAATAGGCTCTTATTATCATTTTGTAAATATTAGAATGATATATGAGTTTAGTAAATAAATAAGATAGTATAAGTAAATTTATATCATAATTTTAATCATTCTATATTTTAAAGAAACGATGTTTGATGAAAGTAAAAAATCAGATAGTGTATTCAAGGTTTTTTAACGTAAAATGTTAAAGGAGAAATTAAATAAAATAATGATGATAAAAAAATTAAATAATTGTAAATTAAGTTTTTTTTTACCGAGTAAATTAAGTATTTTAGAAAATGAAGCATGTCATTAAAATAAGTTCTTTATTAAATAAATTTATTTAGTCAAATAATTTTTAAATTAAATTAAATAAGTTACAAATTAACTGATTTGTGTCAAACACACTCAAAATAACTAAATATTGTTACAACTAAAAGTAAAACGCCTATATTTTCATAAACTTATACGAGAGTTGAATTTACATATTCTACTTTAATTATATTTTATTCTTATAAATTACTGTTTAAAAAAATACGGTTTGAGGGTTTTAGAAAAAATTAAACAAACAAATCAAAATATGTGTAATTAGCCTATTCAAACTTTTCTATTGAATAATGTCTCTACAAAAAAAAATGTGTTCCTACTAATTTTTGTCACCATTTGACATTTCAAATAATTTATTTTAAAGAAAAAATATATGCACCAACAATATTCTGCTATATAATCATTAACTAATTTATATAATAATTTTATTGACTATAATAATTATTTTAAAAATTATAATAAAAAAAATTGTCATTTGTTGACGGTATAAAATATATAATATTGATAATATATATACATTTTTAAACTTTATTTTAAATTGTTTTCACTTTATGCTAAATTCATAATTAAATTCAGTGATATCAGCAAATTGAGTATTAAATATGATAATAACATTTTGAAGGGAAAAATGTTTAAAAAATATATAGAAAATAAATTAATTTTAATTTTTATAAATCTACTTTATATATTAAATACAATGGCTATTGTGTACACACAAAACACAAATTCAACATAAAACATGTTATATTATGCACGACCATAATATGACCGTGTTAACTTTTAGCAGTCATACTCTCAAAAGTAAGGTTATCTTCAAATTTCACTCAAAACAACATAATCATAGTCCTTCAACATATGTGTATTCACTATCGAGTACAATCATAGTTCACTTAATACAATAATGGTTAATTTAGTATAGGCGTGTTTCCCATTCTAAAAGGCAAGTTTCACCTCAATTTCTCACTATTTGTAACTCAAATTCCACTCTATTTATCTTTGTCAATCTAATAACACATAACAAGTAACTTGATTCAAAGAATTCAAGCATAATAGAAAATTACACAAAAATCTTATTCAAGCGCATAAGAACCCTAAACTCATACAATGACAAAAAGTTAAATCATATACATCAAATCACCCAAATCAAATAAGTAATTCCTTTAATAAAATATTGATTAATATCACACAACACATGTTATCAAAACTCCTGTTGAGGTGTTTAGGGTTTAGTCATAAAACATAAATCCTAAAGAATTTTAGGAATTGTCTCACTATCCATAGTATTTATATATGCATATATATAAGATAATTTTACTCTCTATCTTATATCAAATGATGGTTACAAAAATTTTGGTTATGATGTCAAGAAACCAAACGTTACTCCTCATGCTCTTTAGGCAAAACTTCCTCTAGAGTCCCTTTCAAGCATTGGAAGCCAAAATACAAGACTTAGATGTAAAGTAACTAATCATTCATACATTCACTTAGGAAAACTAATGGGTTGGGCTCTTGGAGTCCAAACCCAGTACTCACCCATCAACATGATGCACTTACTCCAATTCATTTTATTTTTTAAAACACCCTTATTTTATTTTACAAGCCCAATTAAACAATATTATTCAAGCAAATAAAACAAATCACATATTATACTTTATATTATTTTATTTACTAAAATGAGATGTTACCATTTTTTATTAGAGTTCTTGATGCAAAAGGTATGAAGTTGGGAGTACTCTCGTTAGATAGACAAGATGACATATAAACATACTTCTTACATGTGATCTTAATAATAGGTACCTAGATACATCCTTCATTTGCATGTGCAATAAGTGATCCTTAAAAAAAGTATCCTACTATTGCTCATTGAAGCAATTCCTTTCTCCTCCCTTGACGAACAATGACTTATGTTCATGTTAATTAACACTCAAACCTTTTATAAATTCAAGTTATTAGTACTTTTAACTCTGGCAATGCCTCTCATTATAAGAAAGAAAGAACCAAAGCTCAAAAATGGTCATTGTGGTCCCAAATTTAAGTCAATCACAAAGTTGTCAATGTTGAATAATAAAATCCAATATAAGGTAATTTCAACAAATAAAAAAAAATCACATTGAAAATGACATTTTAAAGTAATTTTTACCACGTCATCACAATACAAATGACATTAATAAAAATAAATGACAAAACTAAAAAAAAAAGGCATGTATAAAGATTAATTGAGGATATTTCAAATTATATAGGCTAAAATAGAAATTTCAAATTATATAAACTAAAATGATAAAGTTATAAGAACTAAAAGATAAAATAAATAAAATTATAAGACAAAAAAGACATTTAAACAAGTAAAAAAGAAATTCACATTAAAGTGTTTTTCTCACGTCATCACAATACATGTGACGTTAATAAATGATACATAACAAAAATTAAAAAATATATATATTAGCACCAAAAATGAATATATTAAATTAGAAAGAAAAAAATTAACATCTTTAAAAAGGATATTAAAGTTTAATTTAATCTTACAAAATTAATTTATAAAATATAAATTATTTCTCAATTATGTATTATATTTTAACCATATTATTAATTAAAGTGAGAACTTAAAAAAGAACATATATGTTAAAATAACTCAATTTGATGAAGGAGGCTGATGGTAAACAGTGATACCAATTTCCAACCTAAACCAAACTGATGAATTCCTGGAGAGAATGCAGTCGAAGAAATCCAATAATTAAGAAGAATCAAAGTCAAGCTGACTGTTTGTTTACCTAACACCCTCGTCCTGGTTGGGAATAATTATAATAATCATTTATTTATTTATTCATTTTATATATAGGTGCAATGCAAGTACAAAATAAAGTTACTCTTTTCATATTAGCAGCACCTATATGCTCACTTGCAGTACAATCCAAACCAAACATCACTTCCAAGTGACCAGAAACACACACACAATAGTTTTCTGATTTCCTCAACCATGCTTCCTCTCCACCCATCACCTAATCAAATTAAAGGAAAATAAGAAATACCATTCACATCATACGATCGAGTTTGCAAATAAAAGAAATGGTGGTGGTAATGATTATAAGTTTGTGATCATATGTATACGTGATACTTGATGCTGAAGGATTAGGATTTAGGATGGGGTGACATAGCATAAAAGATTAATTGGAGGAAAAGAAAAGGGATGTTGGGGTGTGACATAGCATGAGGATTGGAGAGAGTGTGCAGAGACAAATCCAAATCGGTGTGTCAAATCGAGGCATCATGAGAGGAAACACTGTTGTTATGAAAGAACACGTAAACCATTTAATCTGTGACTTGTGACCTCTCGTCAACAACCACTCTCCTGTTTGGTGATAGGAAAAAAGGAACAGTGCAGAAGAGTCTCCTTCTTGCTCTTCACCTAGCTCAAGACAAACTTCAATTTGCCACTTTGTGTCAAAAACGTTGGTACCATTCCGTTTCGGGTCAGACCCAAACAATATGCGTTTTTAAATGGCATACACTCACGTTTACCACCAATCTCTCATATATACATCTTAATTAATCAGAGACTTCCATGTTATTTATGCCTTCAAAAATATTTGTCTATCACCTTCGCTTGATGACATTAGTAAAATATATATGCAACTATCACGTTTTCGGTTTAGTTTTTGTAATGATTTAATCAAATGATAAAAATACCTTACACCCTACCTTGATCATTGTAAATAGGCCCCAAAATGTTGAACCTATTCGCAATTTTGGTATTGGATACTCAAATTCATTAATTAGTTTTGTAGAAATCGCTACTTATTAACATTACGCAATTCTTAATTGAAAATTGAACGTTTCACTAATGGTATTTAATATTGATTTTAATAGTAATAAAAATTGTTGCAAAATGTTTATCAACATTTTTAATAGTAATAAAAATGGTTGCATAATCTTTATGAGCATTTATATTAGTTCTTGTATATTGTGTGAGTAAAATATTTATTGGCAATTATTCTTATATATTGTTAAAGATCTTTATAATAGTTATTGTATGTTATGTGAACAAAGTATTCTTTGACAATTATTTAAAGACTCAAAATATTTTTTGATAATTATTCTACATGTTGTTATAAATTAATCATCAATATCTTTATTAGATAATAAAATAGATATAATTATTTTATTATCATTAAATAATTGTTAATAATAAATTTTCTGATAATTTTAATTTTTCAAGCCTCAAATTAATATATAATTACTTTCAAAAATAAATAAATAGGATTATCAATTAAGAAGATTTGGCTTTATTCAAATAATTAATTTTTCACTAAATTCTTCAAAAATAAGTCTCAAACATATTATAGAATAGAATTAGATAGAAAGAAAAAAAAACTAGTGTACTTTCAAATAAACATTATCTCCACGCTTAAGCAAGGTCAAGGGTTCGAATCCTGTCTTGTGTATGCAGCCGCGTTAAATCTTGGGGCCAGCTATCCCATCCCTTTGAGGTGCCTCCAACGTAGCAAGGAGATTAGTCACTGTTGTCGGCGGTGGATACTCCAGGAACGAACCTAAAAAAAAATAAACATTATCTCCACATCCAACAAATACTACACCAAAATTAATTTTTTGTGACAATTAATTTATTCTTTAGCAGCCATATAAATGATCATTATTTTTTTTATCAACATTTAAATAATGAATGGTGTATCTAGGGTCGCTAATACTATTACTGACATTTATATAAAATGTTGGTAAATACTTACTAAATTGTCGAAAAAACTTATTTTTTTTAGTGGCAATTCTAGTAGTCATTTTAAAGGTTATTAAAAGTTTTTTTTTTCAATTGTCTCCTTTCTATCCATTTAGTGACTTTTATCTTTTGCTAGTAAAACTTTAAATAATTTATTCCTATAATTTTTTTTCTTCTAAATTCATAACTTATATACTTTATTTATCTTTAGTCGATGTGGAATTTGTAAGATGAGGGTTGTCTTCTATTTGTATATTTTTTAATTTATTTTTTTAATTGTCTTGTCTCTCAAGAAATGTGATATTTATAAGATGAAAATTGTTCTCTAATTGTTTTATAGTACTATTGAACTTGGTAATAGTAAGTGATTTGATACCAATTTAGAATAAGTGATTTGATACCAATTTAGAATTAACACTATAAAATTAACTTATAAAGTGATAGTTATTACTCACTTATATACTATTTAATTATCTTATCTCTAATCGATGTGAGACTTAAGTTTATTCTAATAATTAATTATCGTTAACACTAAACTTTAGTGTAATATAAATAGTTAAATACATTTTTAGTGACTATTATATATTAGTCGTTAATATTTTTATTATATAATTAAATAGTAGTAATTAAATTATTGTCATTAAATAATTGTTATTAATAACAAATTTTATTGTAGTGAAAAATAAATAAATAAGCATTATCTTCGGTTTCAATTTTAGTGATTATTCATTGACCTTATTATTATTGCACGGGGAAAATATATATGGTAGGCCTCCCGTGGACACAAATATTTCTTACCTTCCGTTAAAAAAACCCAATTATATATTTTCACTGAAATGAAGCTTTAAAAAAGCAACGTCATGAAGTAATAATTGTAACTTCAAATTAATCATACGCAACCCAAAAGCAAGCATCATAGCAGAACACAAGGATTCATCTGAACAGTACTTCGAATTCTAAATCACTGTATCGTCGGTGCAAATTAAAATATACGATTTTAATATAACTACATTTTCGGACTACGTACCAATAAACTTTTCCGATCGATAACAATAGTATAATGAACAAACATCCATAACCCACATATGTTAACGATCATTTGCTTTTAAACTAATTTAGGAGAAAAGTTACATATGATCCTGTCAACAACGTCATAATATATAACCATACTTGATCAAGATAGACCATAATTAGCAGTGTCTACAAACCCCTATTCAATAACCCTGATAGTAATACACACGTAGACATAGATAAGAAGAGAAAAAAAACAGACAGAGAAAGACCGAAATAGATAGAAAAATAATAATAAAAAAGAACACCATATCTAAAACGTAAAATCTCCCATTCATCATTCAGCTTTCTCCTTCCTATATCTGCAAAAAGATAAAAAAAATTATGTGAACATAATACTAAAAATAAGAAAAGCTATGATCACAAAAAAAGAAAGAAAGAGTTATTGCTAACGTGCGCACCAAATAATAACATGCACCATGCTGGAGTGATTGAAGAGTGACACCCCATTGATTTGTTAGAACAGGTTGACCAGTGGCATGGATGAGCACAGCATCGTCTCCAAAGGCTTCACGCACGTTGAAAGGTCCCACTGCTACCTCGAATGCCACATCGTTAATGAACACCGTTGATCTCGCCGCAGCAGCTGGATCTCCCATACCTGAGATACACCGAAACATCTCTCATGTGCAAGTCGAAAACATAAGCTAGCTACAACAAGTCAACTATAAGATAAGGCCAATTAAAGCCATTAGCCATGCACACGTGACCCAAACTTCATGGTACCCACCTCCAATCTAATAACTAATAGTTATAAAACTTAGTATTATACTTTTTTATTTTATTTACAGTACAGATTTTATCTAATAAGTTTTTCCTTCTTTGTTTATTTCTCTTTATTACACAAGTGTTATAAAAAGAAAAAAAAACAAATTACCTCACTCTTGTTGTTAATATGCTAAACTCACCATTTTTTGCTTGGAAGGTGATAAGCAACTAAGCACTATTAAGAATATTAAGAATGAAACACTGTATATTTGTCACCAGAAATAGTTTTAAGGGCGTGGAGAAAAAAAAATGCACTGTAGAGCACATTTCTGCAGATCACCATGCAAAACCAAATTCAACAGTAAACTAACTTGTAATGCTATATACTCTTTTATTTTTATTTTTATTAGTTCTCTTGATATGTTATATTAAATGTTTTAAAATAGATTTAACATCATAAAAAGTTATAAAAAAAATTATTTCAGTAAGTACAAAGATTACAGGAAAGATATATATCATAAGGGAATTAAAACTATAAATTAATTACCTTGAGATTGAGCAACGATGGAGGACAGAACAGCAGTAGTGGAGGTAGTGATGGGAGGTACAACAGTGGAAGTTGTAGGAGCTATTGTTGTGGGAGTGACACAGAAATTAAGCAGTGAGGGCTGGTGCATTATTTTCAGAGACTTGTCATGTTCCAGATCCTTCTTTGATGCAGCAGCACCATGACTCACTATCTCACTGAGCAAAAGGCTAGTGCAAGGACCAACATTATGTTGAGCATGTGATTGTGCTTGAACAACGTTGGACAGTTCAGAGAAGCAAAAGCCTTGTGATGTCACCGTACTATGTGCAATTCCCTGCCCATGATGTTGCACTGGGAAGAAAAAAGCCTCAGTTGGTGCAGCAGCAGGTGGTGGTGGCGGTGGTGGTGGTGGAAGCATAGTGGACTCATTGTGGGTGTGAAAATAGGTCTGGTTCACAGAAGTAGTTGGGGAATTAGGCACCATATCGGTGACGTTAGAGAAACCAATGGTGAATACCTTGGTAGGTATTATTTCTTTGGGGGAAGATTTCTCTGAGGAGGAAGATGAGGATGAGGTTGCAGTGATTTGTGGGACCGATGTGGGGTTTTGTTGGGGTTCAAGGTTCTGGTTCTTTGAGTTTTGGAGATGGCGAAGCTTGTGTTTGCTCCTTGATTTGCGGTTCTGGAACCAATAGAAGACATTGGCATCACCCACTTGGCCATACTCTTGCAACTGTGCCCTTATCTTCCTTATCTCATCCCTCGGAGGATTCACCATTCCAGAGTTGAATATAGCCTCCAGAATGCGAATTTGTTCAGGTTTTGGATTCCACCTTGGCTTTGGTTCAGGACTTCTCTCCTCACAACCGGTTCCTATAATTTTTAATAAAATAAAAAAACTATAGTAAAAAACTTCATACATACAAATAACAATTTAAAAAAATGGTATCTACTTATATTTTATGTACATAAGAAGGTCAATTTTCAAAGAGAAACTGAAGTGAAGGATGGTACATACATTTATGGGTTATAAATTATGATAGATTAACTAATTGATAGACCTTTGGACTCAAAATTGGAAAGGATTTTCAAGTTCAGTTATAAAAAAAATGGAGAGTGATGAGAGAGGTTTTTGAGTGTGACAAACCTGAAGTGTAAGGGCTTCTGTGGCAAGCAGATGAGATGAGAGAAGAGTTGATGTCATGCTGCCATTGGTGGTGAGGGTTGCAGGGCTTAGACTTGAACATGCTTGGCCAGTGTCTATTAGAAGAAGCCATGATGGTGATGATGATGGAGGCAAGTGCAAATGAGGTGGTGGGAAATTACTGAACTGAAAGTTAGATCACAAAAACGGCCAACCAGAAGAGAAAAACAATCTAGAAGCAGCACTTTTTTGTTGCTCTTGCTTTTAGGTCTCAACACATAACTTGCCTTCTTATATAGGCTCTTCACCTACCCTACTCCCTGTGCATCTCACTGATCTTATCATAATGTAAATAACATCTTGGCATCTAGTACAAAAAAAAAAGGCATAAAATTATTCACACTTAGCATAATAAAATGAAAGATAAAAGGGTTATAGAATTAATTAAATATATAAAAATGGAGGAAAGGGCAACAGGAATCGCCTGTGAGAAAGATGAAGTAGAAAGGAAACTGAAATAAATAAAAAAGAGAGAGTACCATGTCTCCCATCCCCTGGTGCTATAGTAGGTAGAACTTTAGCATTAATAGTGGGATGAAAAAAGGTGTGTGTGGAGGTTCTTTAAAGCAGAAGGAAATTCCCCCCGGACGAGAAGCAAATGGAACGTGGAAAGGAAAACATGCTGGGGACTTAATTAGGAATCTTGTTGTGTGGCAGAGAAGAGGGTCTTAATGCTAGGGCTTTCATGAGAGGGGTGGGTTCTGATCACTTTGTCTCTTCCTTTTGCCACATTTCTTTGGGAGAAAGGGAGGGAGTGCTAGCAGTGTATTAATGAGAGTGGAGGTAGAAATAAGTGTGGGATTATTCTAATGGAAGAGGTTGGTTGTCGAAATAAATAGGGGTTGGGGGATGGGGTGTTTCAAAGTCAAGAAAGTAGTATGTGGTGTTTGTTTGATTGGAAAACGGTGATGGCCATGGGTTAGTAATTGCAATTGCAACTATTTTAGCTTATTTTGGCCAAAGAAAGGTTTGGATTGACTCGAGGGAGCATATTTATTGTCTACATTATGCACTTGTATATTTCCCCTCATTTCAGTCTTCTATACAAACCATTCTACAACTACATTTAAGTAAGGTTTTACTGATTAATATGAAGTCCAGTTAATAGAAAAAACATGCTAAGCTTTTTCATAAAAATTAATCATTATTAAAGTTTGTAAATATTTTATACCAATGATATAATTAAAAAAATATTATATAATTCTTATTTAAGTGATCAATTAGATTGGTCCACAATCCGAGAAGATGGAATGTATATCATCTAACAAGGGAAATGATTTTGTAAACATGAATTTAGTTCATGAATTCACTTGTGTGTACTTTGTTTACCGTATTTTATTTTTTACGTAAAATGGTAGGGAGGGGATGGTATCTAAGAAATGAACAAGTCAAATTGGGTGAAATTTTAAATATATAAATTGGCTTCAGTTTAAAATATAAATTTGGTTTATTCTTTATCTTAATTTTTATTTTAAAAAACATGATTTAACCTATTCATCTATTTAAAAAAATTATTCTACATTAATAATGTTAAATAAGTCAATACTTTTAATTTTAAAAATAAGTCAATAATTATTTTTAATCATATTATTGATATAAAGTATCTACTAACTTAATCGGTAACTATATTAGGGAACCCTTTAATTAGCCACCTTTGGTAGGGTCTTTACTCCCAATTATATTTTTTTTATACACAAGTCTTAATTAATATGGGACCTTACTTAAAGAAATTGAGTTTAGTACTACTCAAATTAACAATTTGTTAGTCAATAAATTTATTTTTAAATATGCATGCAAGTCTTTTTTTTAATATGCGTGATAAAAAAATTTATTCTATTACTATTAAAATTTAAAACTCAAAATAAAAATAAAAATCTAAAGTATGAGGTACAACTAATATATACTAGTGTCTACTTATAGAGAGGTTGTGATAAAAGAAGATAATCTTATTCAAAAAAGAAAATCTTTCTTAATATTTCTTATATCACATTTGTTATATTTTGAATAATCACATCCATGAAAATTAAGGAAAAGAGAAGAAGAAGATTCAATTACTAAAGCTTCAATTTTTGATTTCTTAATCATGTACTAACAGAAAATATAAAATATTTAAATATAGTAAAAATGTCAAAAATATTAATAATTTAATTTTTGTAATACAAACTTGTTTATTTTATTATGTTATTAATATTTTAATATATATATATATTATGTCATATAAATAAATAAATTAACATATCAGATCTAACAATTTTTTTTACAAACCTGAATCTAATTTTTTTAGATAAGTATTTTTTTTAAAGCTCAAACATGATTTTTTATTAAATAAGTTAGATTAAAGCTTAAACATAAATTTTTTATTAAATAAGTTAGATTAGGTTTTAAACAATGTTTTATTAAATAAGTTAGATTAGGCTTTAAACAAGGTCATAAACTTATGGTTAATGTTTGACCGATTCTTATCAGCATGTTAAAAATTTTAATTTAAATATTATTATTTATGAAGTGGTTAACCGAAATTCAGTTTTTTTCTAATTCGATACAACTTTTGGAGAATTACGACTTTCGAAGAACAAGAGCCACGTCAGTTCGATAGAAATAAATATGAAAGTATGATTCTAAATTCAAAATGTTAAGGATTTATATTTTTTTATGTTGGTATACTCTTTTTTTTTTTTATCATCATTGCTATTGCTCTTTGTTTTTCTAAAACTGTTCATTCATATTTATTCACCTATCTTGTTTAATTAGTAAACAAGATAGGTTGGTCCAACAAGAATTGAATTCATATCTCACAAAAGCTTTTTAAAACTTTGAATCTTGAGATTTATTGTGTCCCGTTTTGTGACTGCCTAGAATTAACTTACCTAAATTTTTTTGTCAATGAAAGAAATATATATAATACCAATGTTAAAAAGTCCCCAAAAGTTAAAGTTTACTAACTCTCTTAATTTTAAATAAAGATTCATATACAGTTTCTAATGATATTAAAACTTATTCGATATTTTATTAAATTAAAGTAATCGTACGTCCTTCTTTGAGTTAGCTTTTATAGATTAATTAGATCTAATCATTTTTAATACGACATTAGAGTCCGTATTCAAGAAATGGTAGAAACCTAATAAAAAAAAAAGAATCTCATTGAATAAATTAATAGACCTTAAGACTTCTAAAACTTAATGTCTTCTTTGATAAATTTTAATCGGTAACTGTTAAATGTATTAGTATGAGTTTATTTTATTTTATTTTAGAAAAAGCTAAACAATTCAAAGAAGAAGGAAGATAAGTGAAGAATGACGAAGAATAAGAAAAAAATGATAAAAAGTGAAAGAAAAAAAAAAAGCGTAAGATACGTTTGATCGAGTGAAAATAATGAGAAATAAAGAAAATAGCATTTAAATAAAATTATTTTAGAAGAGGAAAAAAATTGCATTTAGCAATAAGGAAATATGGTCAACAATTGCCTTAAAAATAAATAAGAGAGTAATTTTTTTTTTTGTAAACTTCATTTTTTTAAAACACCACGTTGACGGTATTAATTTTTTTCTTTTTCTTTTATCACTTATCATATTTATATTTATTTTTTATTTTTCTCTCTCTTTCTAGATGTCAAATAGATATTTGAGTGTCAAAATATTATTTTGTAATAAATAAAAGCAATAAAATTTATATTTTAGTACGTGAATAAATAGTGAGTGATTTTTTTAATAATTTAGGATAGTTTTAATATCATCTTATAATAATGAATTTGAATCCAACTCAATTATACAAAATCAGATTGTAAAATAAGGATTATTCTTCACTTATATATTATTTAATTATCTTATTTCTAGTTAATGTAAGATTTAGATTTTTCTTAATACTATCGGTAAATTATTTTAGAAGATATCTCTATATAAGCAGAAGATTTATGACTTTCAAGGTCTAAATTTAAAATATATAAATTAAAAATCAAAGACAAATCACAATTAAACAAAACCAACTAAAGTTGCATGACAAGTCCATAAATTAAAGAATAAAAAATCAACAAATTGACGATGAATTTAAAATATGAAAACATTGTTTAAACAAATAAATTACTTCAGTGTTCACTCCCCCACTCGCAGATATATATAAGACCATTCACAAATTCTATATATAACGGCTTTCAATACGCAAAGTTATAGCCGTGTTTCAGTGCATTCTCATACTAATATTATGCATTCCCTTTTATCCAATTATCACTGTTGTTTGATATTCGTCCTCATTTTAAACACTCTACTCAAATCTACTTGTAATTGTTTACTAACGTATACAACTGTCCAGAATTTGATTTTTGGACTATAATATGCATAAACTATCTTATTTTCATTGCTTTTTTTTTTAAGTCACTAAATTAGAAATACGCATTTTTTAAAACAATATTATCACTGCAAAATAATTATAACTAATCACTCATTTCTGCTGAAAATTTTGAGTGATTAACTTTAGTAAAATTTCCCCTTCAAATCACGTTTTTTATTCTACTCACAAAATTTGAATTCAAAATTTAACTAAAAGAAAACTATACAGTTTTGCACGGACTAAAACTCGGTGAGAGCATGCATTTTAATATGCACTTTCCATTATCATTATTTTTATGTTAAAAAAGTGTAATAGTAATACAGGAAAATTGCTGTATAAATAAAAAGAACCTGCCAAGATATCCACTGGTGTGAACATAATATGACGAACAAACAAAACAAAAAGGAGAGAGGTCGTAACAGATGTGATATAACGTTTACCAGAAAAGATGTCGAGATTTCATATTGATTTGTCCTAATTCAAAGTAGCAAGAATATTCGATTTTTTTTAAAAAAAATTTATTGATTTCTACCTTCAGAAGAACTTCCGTATCATGGAAATGAATCTGAAAGTACATAGAGTACGTAATTATTATTACAAATTTGAATATTAAAAAGCATCAATGTATTGTATGGTGTAAAATTAAACCTTTAAAGAGATCGAATGCATATATTTGGTTTGACTGTGGAAACAAGTTAATGAGTTTGACAGAAATATATATGAAAAAATGATACAAGGTTGTGATTCAGCTGTCATTCAATGGAATGACCAGACACTGGACTTGGAGTGCAAGATGCATGGCATGCATAGGTAGGTTGAGACCCTATTGCCCTGTATCCAAAATCGTGGCATAAAATGGAATAGACGTCAATGAAAATAAGCATGAAATCATATATATATATATATA